GGGGTGATGCAGTGATGGAATGAATGATGGGGTGATGCAGTGATGGATTGACGGAATGATGTCATGATGGTAGAATGATAGTAGAATGGTGGTAGAATGATAGAATGAATGATGGAGTGATGCAGTGGTGGAGTGGTGGGCTGATGGAATGGAATGATGGAGTGACACTCTGCTGCTGGTCTCTGCATGTCATTCTCACTCTCAATTTCTGTTTGTTTGTTTTTTTTTTTCAAACATTTTTAAGAAGTTCTCAGTGCTTAAAAGGAGATACAGTGGGCTGTTTCCCACAGAAAAGTAAAGATTACTTGTTGTACATGTTTAAATATGTTTTCAGTTGTAAGAGTTTCTTTCATAGTCAAATGTTATCCTGTTACGTATTTTAAATGTAGTAAAGCTGAGAAGTTAGATGGCTGATCCAGAAGAATCACTGCAGGTTCAAGCAGCTGGGGTGTCCGTGTGAGACCCCGTCTAAAAACCAAGTACCCAGCAGCGGTTTGCAGGGCTTCATTGCAGAGCCTATACTTTTCTGAACTTTTGCTTACAAATCATAAAACTTTTCCTTTTCCTTCTTTCTATCTTTTTTGTGGTGCCTCACTGAAAAGTCGTAGGTTTCTGTCCTCTTCTCGACCTTCCTTCTTTCAGTACCTTCCACAAATTTTTAACTTCACTGTCCTGTTTTGTTTTTTGTTTTTCTCAAACTCTGATAATATGGTTTTAAGCCTCAAAAGACTAAAATCTTTTTTTTTTTTAATCTGCATATGGGGCTGGAATGTTGGCTAAGCAGTTGAGTGCCTACTGCCCTTGAAGAAGAGCTTTGTTGAAGGGCAGACTCCAGCACTGGGCCACTCACAGCCAGCTCTGACTCCAGCACTGGGCTCCCGTGCCTTTAGCCTCTGATGGCACCTGACTCACACGCATAGAAACAGACTCATAATTAAATTAAAATACGGATGGAGTAGCAGATCCCTGTAACCTTCACACTCTGAAGATGGAGGCAGGATTACAACCTGGGGCGAGCCTGCGCTACATTGCAACTTTAAGCCCACCCTGTCTCCCAAATACAGTAACAAGAGTAAGAGTGACTCAAGAGATTTCAATACAGATGATAACTACATGTGTTATACATGTGTTATACAGATGATACACTACATGTGTTATACATGTGTTATACAGCGTCCCTCCTCCAATCTTAAAATGCTTACAGAAATAGAATATGTGGAAAGATTCTGTACCATCCAAAATATTAAAACCATTTAAATGTTTCTTTTAGCCTACAATCAGGGCCTTGGCATTAAAAGTCTTAAAAGAAATCTTAAGGCATCAACCAGCAAGATTCAAAAACTATGCAGAGCTAACTGTCATGAAAACCTTGGAAGCACATAAAGATCCTCACAAAGAGGTGAGTGACCAGCAAGCTCAGTCACTGTTGATTATTATGGTTATTAGTGTTACAGGAACCATAGAAACACTTCCCAGGAAGTACTCTGGTAGGGGGAGAGGTTTTACTTGTCATGCATGTGCGCATGTTGATGTGTGTGAGCATGTCGGTCAGTTCTTCCCTTGCACCTTTATGTGTCTTCTGGGAATTGAACTCAGGCCACCAGGCTTGTGTGGCAAGCACCTCTACCTACTGAGCCATCTTCTTGTGTACTTTGGTTTTCCCTGAAGCTCACTATGTAATCTAGCTGACCTCAGAGCAAACCTCTCTTTCACCCTGTTTCCACCCCTGTTCTACTGCACGCTCACCTCAGTTTTCTAATCACTGGAACTGCAGGTATGAGCAGACGCTTCCAGTTACAGTGTGCTGCTTAATCATGTCCTGTGTAAATCCTTGATATTTGGTACAGTGCTTGATGAAGGTGTGAGCATAGGGCTGGGCAGTGGAGTCAGTCAGTAGAGTACTTCTTGCATAAGGATGAGAGCCTCAGTTTAATCCCCAGAACCCACAGAAAAAAGCTGAGTGTGGTAGTGTAAGTCTAATCCAGGATGGCTTGGTGGAGACAGGTCTGTCCCCAAGGCTGCTGATGAGCTGACCTAGCTGAATTGGCAAAGTTTCATGCTAATGGGAGATTCTTTCTGAAGAATAGCCTGGAGACCAGCAAGATAAAGACACTTGCTGCCAAGGCTTGTGACATGCATTTGACAAACATAGTAAAAGGAAAGAACCAACTCTTGCAAGTTATCCTTGGACTTACACATATACGCGCGCGCACACTCACTCACAGAACAATATAATTTCAGTGTTTCAGTGTTTGATTTGGAATAGGATGGTGGCTTCTGTGGAATGACGGCAGCCTTGGCCTCTGCATGCACAGCTGTGAGCATGTGAGCTGTGAGCATGTAAGCTGTGAGCATGTGCTTTATCACATGTAATGCATGAAGACCAAGACCATTGCCATCAAATATGTCCATGGGGATTCATCCAGTTTAATTTCTTCAGTTTGCTTTTCATTTTTTAATTAGAGTTCCTCAGCCTGCATGTCCACATAGCAATAAAAATTTGCTGTTTAAATAACAGATGAAAATAACAAATTGTCATTTTTTGTGTGAATCACCTACGAGACATTTGTCCCTTCCAGGTTTACTCAGTAGGGGAAGAGGAACAGCCTTCCTCAGAGCTGTGTGAACCTCTTGCCTTACTTCATGTCCATGACATTTCTTTCCCTACAGACCTCAGTGGGCCCTGCTCATCATTTATTTATGCCTTGCATTTAAGGACTGCTTGTACTATTTACATTGCCATGACATGGAATAAAGCAAAATAAAGAAATGCATAAAATCATGAAACTATTTTTGCCAACAGTGAAAAAACTAGAAAGAAGGGAGACTGACAGTGGAGCCCGTTTCCGACAGCTCCTGGCACTGGCCAGTCTGATCTTACCTCCTTCCCTGCATCCATCTGTTTACTGAATGAACATTTTCACTGCAAACCCAAAGTATCAAGTCCTGTTAAATGCTTGAAGTTCGTGCTTAGGCTGTACGCTTTTTCCCAGCTGACTTTCCCTTGTGTTGTAGGTGGTGAGGTCTGCTGAGGAAGCTGCCTCTGTGTTGGCCACTTCCATCAGTCCAGAGCAGTGCATCAAAGTGCTTTGTCCCATCATACAGACCGCTGACTACCCAATTAACCTAGCTGCAATCAAAATGCAAACCAAGGTGATAGAGAGAGTATCCAAGGAGACTCTTAACGTGCTCTTACCGGAGATCATGCCAGGTCTGATACAGGTAAGCTACAAAGCTCGGGAAAGTAAGCCGAGATGTGTGTGGGCTTCGGTTGTTGACATGGGTTTCAAGCAGTACTAGTTGCCCAGTCAAGTCTGCAGTGGTCAAGATGAAGATGTTGCATTGTGGGTATAGGTGGGTCAGTTTACGTATGGTACAAAATATGTACCATAAAAGGTACTACATAGAGATCTTTCTCTGAAGTACACAATTTGGTGGTGTTAAATATGTAATATGTCACTACTGTCGATGGTCAGAACTTTTCCATCATTCCATACTAGCATTCTGTATCCACTAAGGAATAAAATACAATTCTTCTAACCTCCCTCCCAGGTCCCAATAATCTCTATTCTGTTGTCTCTGTACTTAATTATTATAGATTTTTCCTATATGGAAAAACCATAAATATTTGTTCTCTTATTTAATATTTTGTAGGTTCATTAACTTTATGTCAGATTTTCACTCTATCATTTAGGAATGTACATTTGTTTATCTATCATTAAACCAAATATTTTGGTTCTGCCTTTTTTCTGCTTTTTATTACTGTAACTGTTACAGTCCTTGTGTGCATCTACCAATAGAAATTGACTCCTGCGTCTGTCTTGAGACTGGTGATGCTGATGGACATCACAGATGCGCTGTGACCGGGACGCTGCCTCTTAGCCCGAGCATATACACATTTTAGTAAAGGTGGAATTAGATTTTGCAACATAACCACATACTGTTAAACTTTGTTAATATTCTAAAATATAATTTTAGAGGCTGAACAACATTACATAGTATATATATATATTGAGTCTTTAAGACAATGGGTAATTTATTCCCATTTTATAGTATTTTTAGTATTTTATTTTTTACTTTGCCCTGAGATTTATTACTTACTATGTTTGTGCAGGGCTGTATATGGTTTGGTAGTAAGCATAGCTTGTACATAGTATGTATACTTCATACATAATGAATGCTGAAGTAACATTTCTTCAATGAAGCCTTGGGATATGCAGGTATTAGCTAAGAACTTCTGTATCTTCAGCTTCCCCTGTTTGCTTGCTTGCTTGCTTGTTTGTGGTTTTCTGAGACAATGTTTTCTCAGTAGCTCCATTTTGTTCTCAGACTTGTAACTGTCTTCCTGCCTCAGATTCTCAAGTGCTGGGATTATAGGCTTGTACCAGCATGTGCAGCCTAAATTCTGATTAGTTTGATGCAAAGTCTTATGACACATGATTACTGAAAACCTGTCAGAAAAGCACAAGAACTGTAGTGAATCACAATTGCAGTTTGTGTATTACAAACCTCTAAACTTGGCGTGTATAGGTAGTAGGGCTAGAACAAAGAGCAATAGGAGGCTATAGTATCTGACTACATGTGAACGCTTCACACAAGAATTATCCCCCTGAGCAGCTAGGATTGCAGATTCAGAGACAGACAGACAGACATTTAGCATGCATGCTCGGCCTAGGTTACAGGAAGGCCTTGACTGACAAACCACAGCATCGATAGCTTCTTACTAGATGGTGAAGAAGTCTTCACTGCTCCAGAGCTAATGCTAAGAAGGTTCTCTGGAGATACTTGCAGAGTGGGTTGAAAAGGGGCAGATGCAGACCTGCAGTTTCTAAAGAAAGAATGTGATATGAACACTGGCAGTTGTTGGAGGTTGGTAGATAGAGGGGAAAACTGTACCATTTCTTGCCTGAAGGGTGGAAAGTTGATGCAGGTGAGAATTCATATTAGAGCTCTCTTGTGTCCTTCAGGGTGGCCTTCCTAAACTGTCAAAGACATTAACATGACCTCTCTTTCCCAGGGTTACGATAATTCAGAAAGCAGTGTCCGGAAAGCTTGTGTCTTCTGCCTGGTGGCTGTCCATTCGGTGATTGGTGATGAGCTAAAGCCACACCTCAGTCAACTCACTGGGAGTAAAGTAAGTAGCCCTGACTCTCGAGGGAGCAGCCATGACACTCACAAAACTTAGTTCTCTTCCATGTTACACAGTAAATGTATCACCCAGCTCTCAGAGTTCTCTGAGCTTTTGTTTGCCTTTATTTCTCCAACTGCCTTTTAGTTCTTTCTGCTTCTAAAGAGCTACAATTACTGACAGCAGCAGAGATGTGGATGGTTGGGACTTCCCACTGCCACACTTAAATCCTGAGGAACCCCAGCCCCCAGACTGTTCAATTAAGAACGGATTGTAGCTATTCACAAATTACTTTATAGCTCCCAAAATGTACAACACTTAAAGCTTTTCTTAATTTTGGTTTGTTTGTTTGTTTGTTTGTTTTTCCATTTTGGGGGACTTTTCTGGTTTGTTTTCTGAGGTGGAGTCTCACCACATAACTCAGACTGATCTGGAACTCAGAGATCCGCCTGCCTCTGCTTCCGAGTGCTGGGATTAAAGGTGTGCGCCACCATACCAAGCTTATTTCTCATTTATTTCTGATCTCACTGCCACACACAGGCAGTATACCTGACACAGGGAGAAGGAAGGAAAAAAGAGCCTACCATGGAAGAAAGACCTCGAGATTCTGAACCCTGAATGGTCAATAGCTGTACTGTGTAGTGGAAGTTGCTGTATCTCTGTAGAAGGGCTTCCTGCTGCAACTATAGTGCTGTTGATATGGTCCGTGGCTGTGTCTGTGACAGATCTTTATAACTTACCTCCTATGTGGGAGGACTATCTCAAAGCCACTTGCCCTTCCCTGAAGAAGGCTGAAGAACCTTTCTCTGGCCAAGAACTTGGCTGTTTTTTAAGCGTTCTATCATATCCACCACTGAAGAGAATGCCAGAGTGTCCTCCACCAGCACTGCTCCCAGTGGGGCCCAACAGGTGTTGGCCATTATATTTTTGAGACTGATTAGAGTTTCCACCACCAACATAAAAACCAGAACTTCATGTTGCTGTCCTTCACTACCATAGCCATCCCTGCTCCCAGAACCAGGACCACTGCAATAGTGGCCACCATCACCTCTCCTATAGCATCTGTGCTGCCATCTCTATTACTGTAGCTTCTGTCCCACTGCAAATTCCACCATGGCCAAAAATTACCTCTTAACTCCAAAATAATTGACACAACGCATAGAGTACCCAGGTCCACCTCCACAGTCTCTTTGTGAACCAGCGGACCACATCTCTTATACAGGAAGGCCCTTTGTGCTTAGAATTTGTATCCAATAGTATTTCTGAGCAGAAGTTTTACCAACTGTCCCATGATTAGAATTCAGAAAAGCAAATTCTCTCCTTTTTCTACTCTGTCATAACTTTGTGTTTCAATCTTGCCATACTTTTTAAGGTAGCCCCCAGTTACTTTCTGTATCTATCACACCACCCACATGTCTTCACTAATAAGTGAGCGCTAGGCTTTACACTTTCTGTAGAAGCCACTTTGTGGTTGTACCTATGCCCATCAGCCTGGTATGGCTGTACACATTACTGCCTACCCCTCTGCACCCAGCCTGAGCCCCTGGAAGCTTTGTGTGGATCTTGCACTACCGTCTCTCAGTATGTTTCATTAAACTATTGCCTGCAGTTCTCCGGCTGCTCTGCTTTCTGTGGATCATGGCCTTTACTCTCAAGTTCTGAGACTTGATACTTGGAGGCCAGTCTAGGCAACATAGCAAATTACAGGCCAGGCTAAACTACAGCACAAGAGCTTTTTTTGTCCAAAAGCAGACAGACAAGTGATCAAATACTTTACTCCTCTTCTCTCCAGCTTTGTTGTTTTGTTTTGTTTGGGGGTCAGTGAGAAGAGCAAGTCTTCAGTGGTCAGACTCCCAGTGCAAGCTGCCCTGGGGTTTGCAGCAGTCACATTGTCCTCACTGAGTGCTGGGTTACAGGTGTGAGCCACCACTCCCCCAGCTCCTTCTGTGGTTTTACTGTGATCCAGGTTAACATGTAACTTTAACTTGGTATCTTAAACTAAAATTTTCTGGTTCATCTTTAAGACTTAAAAGAAAAAAAAAAGGTTATTTGTCTTATTGTATTAATACTTCCAGAGCATTGGAACTCGCTTTGGCCTACAGGATGAAAATGAAGTGCAGTGGTTGGATTATAGCTGAGGGCAGCTAACTGCAGACATTTACCCTAACAATTGTCATTACTGTGATCAAATTTACATTCTAAGTTGCAAAAAGAAATAATACAAATAGATATAGGGTTAAGGCATGCAACTGAGTTGTAGGCTGCTTGCCTAACGTCCTTGCAGCCCTCAGTTCCCACAAACTGAGCATGGTTGTGCACACCTGTAAACAAGATGGAACCCAGAGAGTCAGGCAATGGCGTAGTCATCAGGTACATGGCCATCGTGAGGACAGCATGGTGCCTGCACAAGCCCATCTCTGAGTACACCTCCTTCAGATCTCAGGCTTGCAGACAGGATTCCTTAGTGAGCATATTGTTATAATGAGAGCAGTTTGTTCAAATGGTGCATGTCGCTTTGATCCGCAGATGAAGCTGCTGAACCTTTACATCAAACGTGCACAGACGGGCTCTGCAGGAGGTGAGCCCACTACCGACGTTTCTGGACAGAGTTAGTGCTGCGGATGGAGCCTCCCAGGTCTCGGAAAGGACAACCGCCTGCCCTCCTCGAGGAAAGGAAACTCAAGTACAGCTTTGGGACTCAGCTACGGTTTCCCAGTTCTAGCTTTCTGTTTTGTTCTGTTTTGTATTTTCTGTAACAGAGGGGCGTCCTCAGTCTGCATGTAACTTTATGATAGTTATTCCAAGTTCAAGAGAAGCAGTATTAACATCAGTTGATCAGTACAAAGTAATTTTTTTAATCTAATTCACCATTTCACATGTTTGTACTTCTTTGTCTTCCCATTAACCTTTGCCAGTGTTATGATTGTATAAATTTTTTAAAATGCTGGTTAAACAGGAATGCTTAAAGCTTTAAAAGTTTAACAGTCTAAACTTTTTTTTTGCCTTTATTCAACTGCAGAAGAATATTTTTATTGTTACTTTTGTTCCGTATCATGTCCTATGCTAGAAATACTGACAATAATGTGAGACAAAGCAGGGCTACTTGGAACTCCAGCCAGACTCTGTTGATGTGGCAGTGGTACATGTCGTTAGCGGCGACTTCTTTGGGATGACCTCAAAGAGAAATGTCATAGAATCAGCCAGTTCTGTAAGACTGATAGTGTCTGTTGGTTCTTGATCTTGCCACCTTTATTTAAAGCCGTGTCCCTTCTTTTACCCCGTAAGAAAGCTGCACCAAATCACCTGCCTAGGTTTCCATGGGAATTATTACAATGCAAGGTTTTGTTGCAGAGCTTTTTGGTTTATCTTTGTTGTGAATGATGCTTTTTGTTGTATTTATTAATATCAAATTCACTTATGAATAGACTTGATAATGGAAACAGATGAAAAAAATCAAGTGCATGTGTGTCTTTGACTGTTCTGTTTCTCATTTGATAAACTAATTATTGACATGGGAGTCAACCAGCACCTTTTAGTTGAATGGTGGAGTCTGGTTTCCTTTGACCATGAAATTGTCTTATGAAAACACAGATCCTGATGAGAGAGAAGCTGGTGCCGAGGCTCTTGTCCAATGGGCTCACACTCTCTACCTCTTCAGGGCTGACACTTTAACTGACCCGCTGCCTGGAGTGTCTTGGAAAACTACTTCAAAGGTGATGTTTCGTTACCTTTTAACATTTTTTAAAATCACCTCTGCTAAAGTTATTTTCATGTGCAGCCAACTTTCAAATATTACCAGTTTGGGTGAAAGGCCAAATGAGGTCATTTGGAACCAGGATACTATTGATTTTTCATCTTGACTTTTTTTTAATCCTAACATAAGGTGAATTTGACTGGAAAGCAAATGGCTATTAGGGAAGCAGTTTGCTATTGTTACAGAGTTACCTATACTTTGTTCAGCTGGAAAAAAATGTAGAAATGTATGTAAAGAACGTAAGCTGAGAGAACTGGACGGATGATTGGTCGTAGGCTTTTCCTTTTCTTTGTTTTTGTTCTGTTTTAGCAGCAAGAAGAGATATTACTCCATACCCTCTCCCTACTGGAACAGTTTTGTTTTCTACTGTTAATGACATTGTGTATTTATAGTTCTATGCTTACTGTTGTGCATATACTGGCAATAAAACTGTACATAACATTACTTGAAAACCTTAACTATATAGCTCAGCTCTTTCTCTCACTGTGTAACAAAAGATACGGGTTCTTCTATAAACATGAAAGGTCTTGGACCAGTTTTGTTCCCTGAGTTTTGTATGTGCATTTGAGTTGCAAAGATCAGGACTAGCAACTACAATTCCAGTACATGTAAGAATATGTGTCCTATAGCGTGGACACTGAACTCTGCTCAGTAGTGTTTGAATTCAGTAACAGTTAGTATATTTCATAATCATTTTGAATCCACATATTGATTTGGCTTCTGCTTTAAAATATTTTAATTACTGTTGACAACCAAGTTGAGTGACATAAGCATTGAGCAATTGGATCTTGGATCAACAGTAGGCACTGAAGGAATGGACTGCACAGAAGAAAAGCAGGGTTTATTGTTTCCAAATGGAAGCTAATATACACAGTGGGTGTGAGGGCACACACCAGTAATCTCAGAACTTGGGAAGTCGAGACACATGGATCTGAGTTGAGGCAAGCCTGGTCTACAGAGTGACTTTCAGGATAGCCAGGGCTACACAGAGGAACCCTCCCTCAAAAAAAATAAAGAAAGAAAAGAAAAGGAAATAAAAGGAAGGAAGGAAGATGGATGGGAGGAAGGAAGGAAAAGCCATGAGAATTGTGTAATTTGGGGTTGGATATGGGGTGTGTAGCAGAACCCTTGCCTAGTGTGCACAAGGCCCTGGCTGGGTTCAGTTCCCAGAGCCACAGACAAGAGGAAAAAATCTTTCATAATTTCAAGTTGATAAGACTGAGAAAGTTACTGATATTCAGATCACTTCATGCAGTATTCTTCTACTTCGTTCATTTCAAAAACATACTTTCAGCTGTTAAAAATGTCACATAAAGCTACTGTTTAAATGTCTTTAGCTGAAGAACTGGCTCAGCAGTTAAGAGTGCTTGCTCTTTGTATTAATCAGGGTTATCTAAGAATAACAGAACTTACAGAATAAATCTCTCCGGGGGCGGGGGGAGGAGATTATATATGTATATAATATATATGGGATATATTAGGGTGACTTAGACAGGCTGTGGTCCAGTTAATCCAACAGTGGCTGCCTATGAGTGGAAACTCCTGAGAACCCAGTAGTTATTCATTCCCATAAGGCTAGGTGTCTCAGCTGGTCTTCAGTATATGTTGGAGTCTGAAAGAAGTATGAACTTGCTCAGTGAGGCAAAAGCATGCAGGAAAAGGGCAAAAACTTCTTCCATGTCTCCATATAGGTTTCTAGCAAAAGGCATGGTCTTCCCACCTCAAAAGATCTAAAAATATATCTTCCTATCTCAAAAGATCTAGATTAGAAATGGATGATCTTCATATGTACTTCAAATTAAGCAAAATTCCCTCAGGACTGAGTCCCTTTTGGGGTTTTAGTTAATTCCTGATGTAGTCAAGTTGACAGCCAAGATAAGCCATCATACTCTTCCAGAGGACCTGAGAGTTCACTTCCCAGCATCCACTTCAGATGTCTCATAACCATCTGCAACTTCACCTCCAGAGGACCCAATGCTCTCTTCCCACAACCCCCCACACATGTATATACATACAAACAACACACATAAACAAAAATAAATCTTTATTTTCTGAGTCTTGCTTTCCTCACCCAAACTATACACCATACATTTATTGCACTACTGAGAATTTATTAGAAGAATTTTAAAGGTTAGATATAGTGTCATATATCATACCTAAAGTCATCCCAGCTACTTGGAAGCTGAGGCAGGAAGATAGCTTGAATCAAGAAGTTGGAAGAACAGCCTAAACAAATAGCTAGATCCCTGCACAATACGTACACATATTTTTTTAAATATCTATTTATTTTATGCGTATGTGTACACTGTAGCTGTCTTCAGACACACCAGAAGAGGGCCATCAGATCCCATTACAGATAGTTGCTGAGAATTAATCTCAGGACTTCTGGAAGAACAATCAGTGCTCTTAACTGCTGAGCCATCTCTCCAGCTCCACCTACATGTATTTTTAAGTTTATTTTAGTTTCGGGTTTTAAAGCATGTTTAGTTCTGGGTTTCAAAATCTTGGAGGCTTGTGTGCTTTTTGTCTTGTTTTCCCTAAGCTGTAGTGTAACTATGGAAAAGTCCTCTGTCATAACCAGCCAGAGTGAAAGCACTCAGGTGTAATTTCTTATAAGGTGCCTTTTTTGGTTGTTCTTTTATCTAATACTCAACGTAGTGGCAAGTTCACTTCTCACTGAGTGGTTTTTTTTTGGGGGGGGGACACCTCAATTTTTAATACAGCTTACATACCCAACATCCTACCAAATAGCGGGTTTCCAGCTGTCTTCGTTTCCTTTTCTATTGCTGTGATAAATACACTCTGAAGGGGAGTAGCTGGGGAGGTGGCTCCGCAGTTAAGAGCACCGGGTGTTCTTCAGAGAACTTGGGTTCAGTTCCCAGAATCCTATAAAATTGTTGTATTAATATTGATCTATGAAATTAGTGTGGCAGCAGTTATTCCTTAATCAACTAATTCCCCAACAATCATACAGACTAAGATTTATATAAATCACCTTGAGCCAAACACTCCATTCTAAACCTCCAGGCTGGTCAGACATCCTCCCTCCCAGCCACTGTTCCCATCCTACTTGAATTTTCTCCGTCTCTCAATTCAGCTCTCTCCTGATGTTTTCTCCACCTCCCTCATGGCTCCCTCCTTTGCTTTTTCCTCCACCCCTCCTAGAATTGGAAGTCCCACCTAGTCTCTCTAAACCTCTGGGTTGGCTCCTTAGCGTTTATTGACAAGGCTATAAGAGAATGAATGAGGAGCAATATTCATACAGGCTTGAGACAGAAGCTTCACGAATAAACATTACAAAGCCATGCCTAGATTGAAGCAAGATAAGAGGGCAGAAAAATCAGCATTTGAACAACACAAGGGTAAACTTTACACCCTGAGAAAACATGCCTACAGTACTCATGTGGCATTTCACAACCATCTGCAATTCCAGTTCCAGGGGATCTGACACCAAACACATACGTGCAATACTTGCAGCCATACAGGTGAAACACTCGGATTTAAAAAAAAAAAATGAATGAATTAAAATACCTTGATAAAAGCAGGTTAGGGGAATCTAGTTTGAGCTCATAATCCATCCTAGAGAAATCCCAGCAGGGGCTTAAGAGAGCCTCTACATTCACAGTCAAGAGGGAGAGCCAGGGATGAATGTACAGGCTTACTCTCCCCTTCCGCTAACACAGGTTTAGGATCTGCTTTCTAGGGAGTGGTGTCACCCAAGGTGTGCAGGCTTCTCCTTCATTGACCCTTGCTTCTCAGGTAATTCTAGGCTAACATCACACCAACTCAATCTGTGAGTTTTCTCCTACAGCACATTCCATTCACAAGTTTCAGGTTAACACTAGGTAAGTTTTTAAATGTTACTCTCATGAAAAACGTGTAGTGGTTTGGATTTTCTTGTTGTTGGGTTTTGTTACTATTGTTGGGGTTGGGGTTATTTGGAGGCGCTTGTTTTCTGTTTTTAAAGACACGGTCACTTACAGCATGGGTGACCTCAAACTTACTATATAGCTGATCTTGAGCTGTTGGGGATCAAATCCCCAACATTTTCATGTGTGCTAGGAAAACAGTCTGCTAACATTCCTTGCTCCAAAATAATGGGTTTTATTTCAAAATACTGCTGTCAACTCCAGAGTCCACAGAAACAAATAAAAATTTAAAACTTGGGAGGCTCAGAATTTCCTTCCATTGAGTTTTACCCCTGGCTAGTAGCACTTCAGTAACTAAGGAAACCAGACCAATACCTTCTGCAATGGCTGGCTAGTATTTAAAAATCTGAGAGCTGTCAGAATACTGCATGGTTACACTTGCATACAGTACCTAGAATAATCAGAATAAGACAAAGTGAGAATGGTGGTTGCCCATGTTGGGGACTGGGGAAGATGAAGAGATCAAACAAACATTATGACCCAATTACTATGAATAACAATGAGTGATGGGGACATACCGGTGACAAAGCACCGGGACTTCAAGCATCCTGATTGCTGCAGTTTCCCTTCTGCTCATCTCACTGCCCTGGATCTGAACTGTTCCACCAAATCACCACACCAAGCATTTCACTTGCTAATTGCAGACCTTATATTAGAGTGGTTAAAACATGAAGAAAGAACCAACCAGGTATGATGGCACACACATGTAATTTCAGCACTTAGTAGGCTGAGGCAGGTTACTGTCAGTTCCAGGCCAACTTGATACATAGTATGTTGCAGGATATTTGATCTCACTATGAACCCTGAGAATTATTCACTGGGGGGGAAAAACTGTTTCTACTTGTGGTTTGGCTCAACTTTTGGCACACACCTTTAAACTCTGGCTGGAATACAATCACACTCTTAATACACCCGTCTAATCCCAAACAATGAAGGTAAAGTTGGTTTGTAGAAAGAAGCACCCATGTTCGAAAGTGATGTCTAGTTGAGTGGCAGACAAGGTGACAAATCAGAGAAAGATTTGACAAACTAGGCTATGCCCAACTCTCACAAGGCGAGAGAGGAAAGGGAAGCTACCTAAGGGGCAGTGCAGAAAAGAGGAGGCAGCTTTATGGGACAGTTGTACAGAGACAGGTTGAAGAGAGGACAAGCTAGACACAAGGACAAGATTAGAACAGATTGCTAGAATTTGAGATCAAGCAGAGCAATCAGCAATTCAGGCGAGGGACAGAGAGGAGGGAGGGGGAGAGGGAGGAAAAGAGGGAGAGTAGCCATAATAAGTCACCTTGAAGAGGAGTTTTGAGCAAGAACAGGTGAGTTGAACCAGCAAGAGTTCAGAAAGAAATAGAAAGGGTGAGCTTACTCAGCATTGAGTTTCAAGCTGAAAACATTCTAGGCTTAGATTAGGCTGTACAGACACTTCTATGACTGGGCTTAGGTTAGCAAACTGGGGACAGTAAGATGACAGAGATGACAATTACACCAGGAAAAGAAAAGTTACCTTTACAATAGTGATTCCAGATCAACCAAGGCT